ATGTCTCATCTATTTCTGAAAATCTAGTATTAATCTTCTGGATTTCTATGTGTAGATTTTGTATCATTTCTAATTTTTCATTTATTTTGTCATTTTGTTCTTGCATTGTCTTTCAAAATTGTTCTAGGGTTTTCTCTGTGTTTTTCTTGATCTGTCTCTCAATCCTTAGAAGATACCTAAATATAATTCTTTTGAATTCCTTATCAAGGAGTTCAATGCTGCATCTTCCTCAGGGATGTGTTTTGGGTCTGTATCCTGGTCGCTTGTTTCTCCTGCTTTATCTTGCTTCTTTGTGTGGATTGTGAAGCTCTGTTGTCTCCAAGGCATTGTGATGTTTTTGTGTTTATATTTAATTGGTGATTGTACGTTGAAGTGACTTGCCCATGATTTTTGTTTTCTTTGCTTTGTTTGCACGTTATCTATGCAAGCAGGCTACTGTGCTGTGCTCCTCTATTCACTAATTGACAGCACTTATACAGTCACCACCTGTCTCTTTTTCTGTTGTCAGCCTCTCATATGTCCCTGCTGACCTTGGCAAGCAGAGCCTCTTCTTAGGTTCCCTGGAACCCGAATGAGAATGCTGTCACTTTAAAATCCAAAATGGTTGCCATTTGTAAAGGTTCAAAATGTCTGTGCTCTCAGTCGCTTTAAATATCCAAAATGGCCACCACTTGTAAACATTCAAAATGGCTGCACCCTTGGTCACTTTAAATATCCAAAATGGCTGCCAAGTATAAACAATCAAAATGGCTGTGCCCTCTGGACAGCAGAAAGTCAATACCTCAGATTGTTTCCTTCCTTGCTGTTTCCTGTCCTAGTCATAGGCCACCAGTGCAGTCATCCCTCCAGCCCTTGGTGACCAGGGATGATCTTTAGGTCAATTCTCAGGTCCCAACACCTCTTGGAAATATTCAGGCTGTTGGTCCCATCAGGGTAGCTGACAGTCCGGAGCTCTGACCATCTCCATACTCACTGTTTTCATTCAGGTTTTCCACTAGTTGGTGCTGAATCCACTTCTGTATAGTTCCTTTCAAAGCTCAGGGCTCCAGGATTATCTTCTGTATCTCTGTCAATTGGCTTTTCTTTTCTTTGTTGAAGAGGGTCTATGTCATTTGTCTGACTATTCCTCCATCTTCCTACATCCAGATATAATATTTCTGAATAAATTCTCTTAACTTCATTTTCATAGACTGAGTGGGTTTTCTCTCTTTACAACAATTTGGGGGCTCATCCAGGATTCTCAAAGCAGCCTACCTACACAGGGGGTTTGAGGATTGTGGATCAGAAACTTGACACCATACTGAAAGTCTTTTGTGTTTTCCTCTCATGGCTGTGCTCACCACACATGGCCTCAGACACCACCATTTGGAGATAAGTACTTCTCAAAAAGGACTTCACTCTTCTTGTGTGGTTTTTTTGAGGCATTATTTAGTTTTTGCTTGCTTGCTTTCTTTCTGTTCATTTCTTGAACCTTGTGTTGCAACTTTATTAGTTGTTGCTATAGCCGTATTGTTCTGTTTTCCTTTTCCCTTCTTTCTTTTAGAAATGCATTGAACTTCTGCATCTCTGATTTGCATGAATGTTTTCTTGGTGAGATGGGTAACGCAATTCCAAAGAGCATTTGAATCCCCTTGTTGAGATTCTCACCACTTTCATGACAGAACACTACGACCCCAGTAGTTTTGTTATGTCATGCACTGACATCATCTTATGCAAGGAAGTCTTGAGTATCAGTGTCCTTTATGGAGTTCTTTTGAAA